GGATTGGTAGGATTTCCATTGGTACCCCCAAAACAAGTTGAAAAAAATAAAGGATTGTAGGACTTCCATTGGTACCTCAAAACTGTTTGAAAAAAAATAAAGGATTGTAGGACTTCCATTGGTACCACAAAACAAGTTGAAAAAAATAAAGGATTGGTAGGACTTCCATTGGTACCTCAAAACTGGTTGAAAAAGAAATAAGGGATTGGTAGGACTTCCATTGGTACCCCAAAACTGGTTGAAAAAGAAATAAAGGGTTGGTAGGACTTCCATTGGCACCTCAAAATTGGTTGAAAAGTATGAAGGATTGGTAAGACTTCCGTTGGCACCCCAAAAGTGGTTGAAAAAATAAAACGTTGATAGGACTTCCACTGATACCTCAAAACTGGTTGAAAAAAATAAAGGATTGGTAGGATTTCCATTGGTACCCCCAAAACAAGTTGAAAAAAAATAAAGGATTGGTAGTACTTCCATTGGTACCTCAAAACTGTTTGAAAAAAAATAAAGGATTGTAGGACTTCCATTGGTACCACAAAACAAGTTGAAAAAAATAAAGGATTGGTAGGACTTCCATTGGTACCTCAAAACTGGTTGAAAAAGAAATAAAGGATTGGTAGGACTTCCATTGGTACCCCAAAACTGGTTGAAAAAGAAATAAAGGGTTGGTAGGACTTCCATTGGCACCTCAAAATTGGTTGAAAAGTATGAAGGATTGGTAAGACTTCCGTTGGCACCAAAAAAGTGGTTGAAAAAATAAAACGTTGATAGGACTTCCACTGATACCTCAAAACTGGTTGAAAAAAATAAAGGATTGGTAGGATTTCCATTGGTACCTCAAAACTGGTTGAAAAAAAATAAAGGATTGGTAGTACTTCCATTGGTACCTCAAAACTGGTTGAAAAAAATAAAGGATTGGTAGGACTTCCATTGGTACCTCAAAACTGGTTGAAAAAGAAATAAAGGATTGGTAGGACTTCCATTGGTACCCCCAAAACAAGTTGAAAAAAATAAAGGATTGGTAGGACTTCCATTGGTACCTCAAAACTGGTTGGAAAAAATAAAGGATTGGTAGGACTTCCATTGGTACCCCAAAACAAGTTGAAAAAAATAAAGGATTGGTAGGACTTCCATTGGTACCTCAAAACTGGTTGAAAAAAAAATAAAGGATTGGTAGTACTTCCATTGGTACCCCAAACTGGTTGAAAAAAATAAAGGATTGGTTGGATTTCCATTGGTACCTCAAAACTGGTTGAAAAAAAAGGGATTGGTAGGGCTTCCATTGGTACCTCAAAGTTGGTTGAAAAAAAAAATAAAGGATTGGTAGGACTTCCATTGGCACCCCCAAAATGGTTGAAACAATTAAAGAGTTGGTAGGACTTCCATTGGCAACTCAAAATTGGTTGAAAAAAATAAAGGGTTGGTAGGACTTCTATTGGCACCTCAAAATTGGTTGAAAAGAAATAAAGGATTGGTAGGACTTCCATTGGTACCTCAAAACTGTTTGAAAAAAAATAAAGGATTGGTAGGACTTCCATTGGTACCACAAAACAAATTGAAAAAAATAAAGGATTGGTAGGACTTCCATTGGTACCTCAAAACTGGTTGAAAAAGAAATAAAGGATTGGTAGCACTTCCATTGGTACCCCAAAACTGGTTGAAAAAATAAAGGGTTGGTAGGACTTCCTTTGGCACCTCAAAATTGGTTGAAAAGAAATAAAGGATTGTTGGATTTCCATTGGTACCTCAAAACTGGTTGAAAAGTATGAAGGATTGGTAGGACTTCCATTGGCACCTCAAAATTGGTTGAAAAGTATGAAGGATTGGTAAGACTTCCATTGGTACCTCAAAACTGGTTGAAAAAAAAATAAAGGATTGGTAGGTCTTCCATTGGTACCCCAAACTGGTTGAAAAAAATAAAGGATTGGTTGGATTTCCATTGGTACCTCAAAACTGGTTGAAAAAAAAAGGGATTGGTAGGACTTCCATTGGTACCTCAAAGCTGGTTGAAAAAAAATAAAGGATTGGTAGGACTTCCATTGGCACCCCAAAAATGGTTGAAAAAATTAAAGGGTTGGTAGGACTTCCATTGGCAACTCAAAATTGGTTGAAAAAAATAAAGGGTTGGTAGGACTTCCATTGGCACCTCAAAATTGGTTGAAAAGAAATAAAGGATTGGTAGGACTTCCATTGGTACCTCAAAACTGGTTGAAAAATATGAAGGATTGGTAGGACTTCCATTGGCACCTCAAAATTGGTTGAAAAGTATGAAGGATTGGTAAGACTTCCATTGGTACCTCAAAACTGGTTGAAAAAAAGGGATTGGTAGGACTTCCATTGGTACCTCAAAGCTGGTTGAAAAAAAAATAAAGGATTGGTAGGACTTCCATTGGCACCCCAAAAATGGTTGAAAATATTAAAGGGTTGGTAGGACTTCCATTGGCAACTCAAAATTGGTTGAAAAAAATATAGGGTTGGTAAGACTTCTATTGGCACCTCAAAATTGGTTGAAAAGAAATAAAGGATTGGTAGGACATCCATTGGTACCTCAAAACTGTTTGAAAAAAAAATAAAGGATTGGTTGGACTTCCATTGGTACCACAAAACAAGTTGAAAAAAATAAAGGATTGGTAGGACTTCCATTGGTACCTCAAAACTGGTTGAAAAAGAAATAAAGGATTGGTAGCACTTCCATTGGTACCCCAAAACTGGTTGAAAAAATAAAGGGTTGGTAGGACTTCCWTTGGCACCTCAAAATTGGTTGAAAAGAAATAAAGGATTGTTGGATTTCCATTGGTACCTCAAAACTGGTTGAAAAGTATGAAGGATTGGTAGGACTTCCATTGGCACCTCAAAATTGGTTGAAAAGTATGAAGGATTGGTAAGACTTCCATTGGTACCTCAAAACTGGTTGAAAAAAAATAAAGGATTGGTAGGACTTCCATTGGTACCTCAAACTGGTTGAAAAAAATAAAGGATTGGTTGGATTTCCATTGGTACCTCAAAACTGGTTGAAAAAAAGGGATTGGTAGGACTTCCATTGGTACCTCAAAGCTGGTTGAAAAAAAATAAAGGATTGGTAGGACTTCCATTGGCACTCCAGAAATGGTTGAAAAAATTAAAGGGTTGGTAGGACTTCCATTGGCAACTCAAAATTGGTTGAAAAAAATAAAGGGTTGGTAGGACTTCCATTGGTACCTCAAAACTGTTTGAAAAAAAATAAAGGATTGTAGGACTTCCATTGGTACCACAAAACAAGTTGAAAAAAATAAAGGATTGGTAGGACTTCCATTGGTACCTCAAAACTGGTTGAAAAAGAAATAAYGGATTGGTAGSACTTCCATTGGTACCCCAAAACTGGTTGAAAAAGAAATAAAGGGTTGGTAGGACTTCCATTGGCACCTCAAAATTGGTTGAAAAGTATGAAGGATTGGTAAGACTTCCGTTGGCACCKKAAAAGTGGTTGAAAAAATAAAACGTTGATAGGACTTCCACTGATACCTCAAAACTGGTTGAAAAAAATAAAGGATTGGTAGGATTTCCATTGGTACCCCCAAAACAAGTTGAAAAAAAATAAAGGATTGGTAGTACTTCCATTGGTACCTCAAAACTGTTTGAAAAAAAATAAAGGATTGTAGGACTTCCATTGGTACCACAAAAC